TAAAAAAAAAAAAAAAGACCAGCCTGTTAAAGATGGTGGGATCCTTAGACACTTTTCAGGCCTGAAACAGAACTCACTGCCTTGGAACAACTTTCAGTTAAACAACAGACTGGCCTAAAAAGGGAAAGCTGCTTCCAGAAAGTGAAGAGGACTTGAAACATTCACTGACGATCAAAGCCTTCAATCTGAATTATATCTTAACATCAAGGAAAACAAAAATTCTTACCACTGGGCCCACAGACAACAGTGTGATAGATGAGATAAAGGACTCAAGTTGTCAAATGAGTTAATTTCACTTGGACCCACTGTCAACACACATGGTAACAGCAGTCAAGAAATCAAAAGATGTGCTGTACTGGAAAAGTCTGCTATCAAGGACCTCACCAAGGTGCTCAAGAGCATTGATGTTTAAAGTCAGAGGTACAACTGATGCAATCTATGGTATTTTTAACTGCTTCCTATGCATTTGGAAGCTGGACAATGAATAAGGCAGACAGAATTGAAAACTTTGAATTGTGGTATAGGAGGAGTACTGGATATCCCATGGACTGCCAAAAGAACAAATCTGCCTTCGAGGAAGTGCAACCAGATTCCTCAAGTATGTACACTTCCAATGGAATAAATAAATAGCAGAGATCCTTACTTGGTGCAATAGTTGCATGTGGCCGGCATGGAGGTATTGGGTAAGGAACAGGTTTGTGTGGGTTGTACGTCGAAGGCGGCTAGATGAGGGAGAAAGCATTTTAGTTAGAATAAAGTGAAGCAAGTGGACACCTGGCAAAACAAAGGATAAACTTATCTTTGAAAATAAAGGGGATCCCAATTAAATAACAAAAATAGATTCTGACAAAGATGTGGTTATTTCAGAATCTTCTCCAATGAAGTGTCAGACCTTAACCCTACAGTAAGCACCTCTTAGCCAAAACCCAAACCAGGTTAATAATACACGAATGCTTAGCTCCTTTGATATACTAGGAAATCTTCAAGGCTGTGGTATCTTCGTTACTTCCACTGGCCACATCCTCTTATGTTTGGTTTAGAGGTCATTCCCTTGTCAATTCCACCCTCTCTTCACCTTTTCGGAGGAAAAATCACTTCTCATTTTAGCATTCTGACAACTGTGAGAGAACCCTGACTGGACAGGGTGCACAATGTTAGCTTCCATGGAGCTGGTCACTGACTCATGATGATCCCCTGCACTGGGGGATCAGACAAGATGCTCCACTGAAAACTATTCGCCATCACAACCCTTTGCTGTGCATGAGCCCACAGCCAGGAACTTAGTTAGGAATTTAATTATTTTGGTCTCTTTGATCTATCCACATATTAAAAACTTTTTTATAATTGGTCAAATTTACACATCATAAAGGGCATTCTAAGAACTGGTCTTTAGAGAATATGATATCCAAATCGGAGCCAAGTGCTACACTTGACTGACGTGAATGCTGACAGAATAGCTTCTGGATGGGGCAGTCAATCAGCGATGCTGAGGTTGTACATTCTTTCTGGTTCTGATACTAGCCCTGTCTGAAGCACTCTTTATACAAGGTCTATGAAGTGGCTGGCATTCTACAGGGGCTCCCGTCCAGTGGCTGGTCAAGTACTGCAACTTGGCTGTGTGTTGGCCTCTGAGTTCTGCAGCTCCGGTAATCCTGCAAATCACAGAGTTGAACTCTCCTGTCCAGTTTCTGCTCTAGCCAGTCATCATCCTCACTCAGGTGAGTACACGCCCCAGTCCCTGGCTCCATTCTTGTTTCACGAACAGGAATCTGGGCAATCTGCACTCAGAATGAACTCTCCACACTCCCCTCCAACTGCACAGCTAAGTATGGACATAGGGAAAAAGTTCTGGTGCTTGGTTTTTGGTGTTTGTTGTTGTGTTTTTTTTTAAAAAAAAACTTGTTATCACATTAAAATCAAACACTTAACCTGAAAAACAGTCTTTAACTCTGCTGATCAAGCATGCTTTATTTCCCTAGACCATTCACTTCTCCTAGATTTTTCTAGTACACTTTTGACCTCATGATACAAAACTGAAATTTATGTTTTTAATAGAGAACTGTAAGTAAAAACTATGTCATATTTAGTAATTTATTTTGTGAACACACTGGCTTGGATGGTCCGAGAATTCGTGCAGCTATTCCTTTGCCTTCATTGGTACATTCTTCACCATCCTTTTTCAAGGGGGTTCCCTATTTAAGTAAGAAAGAAAAAAAGACTGTTTAGATTCCAAAGGCAAAGGAGGGTTGGAAATAAAAGCAAAACTTAACAAATGATAATAATAAAGTCATAGAGTTATACTGGAGCCAAGGACTTAATTTAGTAATTTAGAGACAGGAATTCTCGTCTCAATTTTGCTAGGGCGCTCTGGTGGCCTAGTGACAAGAAGCTGTACTGCAATCCTACAGGTATGTGGTTTGAATCCACCAGATGCTCTGCTGGAAAGGAGGGGCAATCTCCTGTACCAGTCAGATCCAATCTGACAGTACACACACACAATAAAATAAGTAATATTAAAAAAAAATGTTAGGGCTGGCAGCATGACCCAAAGGCATGTGGTTCAAATCTACCAGCTGCTCCATAAGAAGAATGAGCAGTCTCCCTCCTTGCAATTTATTGTCTCTGAAAATCCGCTGGAGGGTCAGCTATGGGTCGGTTCCCACTCAATGGCACACAACAAGAAGCCAGCAGAGCTTTTTTAAGGGTCAGGCTCTACCAAAAAAGCAGCAAGCAAAAGTAAGACTTGTAACATGATGCACATGGACTGTTTACAGAATCCAAAGAGTACCTGTAACAAAGCTGACAGCAGATAGCAAAAGGCTGTTCTTTACACTCATTCAGGGTGACTGTTTATACTATACAAGGCTGTTTAATTAACAAATCAGAGTAAGTTAACAGATTACCACTATATGCCTGTAAACGACACTCATGAATTTGAAAGCCATCTTCTGAGATGGCTGAAATGATCCTTGCCTTCTAAATGTCCTTGCTGAGGTGATCTCACCCACAATGCACAGGGATGACACAGTACACAGCACAAATGACACTGACTTCCACGATCATGCCACAGAAGACAGAGCAGTGGCCACTTGCCCTCTCTTACAACACATGTTCTGAGGTCAAGTAGCTGTAATGCCATGAGGACCCTCAAGCAACCTTGTGGGAAACCCTGTGGCATGAGGAAAAGACCTCTGCCAGAGCCATGCCTAACTTGCCAGGCCTAAGTCAGCTGTGTGTGATAGTTAAGGTGGTGTGTCAATTTTATAGCCTTAAGATTCTCTGGTTTGCCAGTTATATTGTAGTCATTCCACTGATGTGATCTGATATATACATTTATTCCCCTGAGAACTGATAGAATCATTTCCCTCACAAGATCTTATATAACGTTGTATCGCCATGATGAGACCTGGTAAGAGCAGCCAATGAGTTCAAAGAAATAAAGCCCACATCAAGTTTATATGGATGTTTAGTAAAGTTCTCCTGCTTTTACTTACTCTGACTCATGACCTACAGTTCTTTAACTTGAACCAGTGGTCTGCGTTATCTGTCTGTCTTGGATTCGTCAGCCTCTAAAGTCAGCAGCTTGCTGTCTTACTTGCCAAACTTAGATCTCTCAGCCTGTAGAAGTATGAGTCAAGAGATCTTTTTCCTGAGGGTAGTCATAAAGACCTGGGACCCACCAGTTTTTACAACAGCATTAGCCATTTCCTGGAGTTAAATACAGTTCTCTCTTCATTGGTTTTGCTTCTCTAGAGTCTAAGACATCTTAAAAGGCTATTCTGAACCTAAGTGTTCAAGAGAAAATCTGAGACAGAAATATCCAGCTCTGTCATTCCAAATTCCTGGCCCACAGAAACTGTGTTTATTATCTGAATCTATCACATTTTGGAGTTACTTGTTTGATAGCCAGAAAAATGCTATTCTTGGGGAAAGTTATTTTACAAAGAAGTTTGAGGAACAGTAGATATAAAACAAGCTTTATTCCTATATTCAGGGTATTCTGGTTTCTGTATTATGCAGTGTGAGTCTCCAAAATTAGAACATTTCATGCAGAGTTCCCCAAGTGTGAATCAGTCTAAAAACACTGAACATTTGAGAAATATTGCTTAAATAAAAGTCAATCAGTGCTTTCCTTCTAAGATGCTTAGAAGAACAAAATAAAATCTATCTTTTCAGTTTGCTTTGTTTTCCTTCCATTTCATAAAAATATTTTAAGGAAGTTTAAACATGAATATTTAATTAGTGCTGAAATCTATGATATTATTGACATAATAAAATTCCTTTCACTTGACAAAGACTAAACTAGAATTTTTAAGACACCGAAATTATGATACATTGAATCCTCAGCCACATGGGAGTTTCCTATATAGGCATAAAAGTATGCTTACTGGGAAAATTCCATTTATACGACTAGGTCTTCCTTTGGGATATGGGTTTCCTGGAATTGTTCCACATGAAGATATCATAGCATGAGGAGCTTTGCAGCCTCCCTTGAAAGCCTGTAACAGCAAACAAGAGAGGATGGTGAAAAACAAACACTATTCAAATGCAGAAAATCAAGTACTCTGGATACTGAGAAGCTTAGCAAAGAAAGTGAGTTAAAGAAAATTATCATATTCCACTGTTCACACAGTAATCAGAGGTTACATCAAGGGCCGTGACCAAAACGACTAACTAAAATAGTTTTCTTTAAATGTGATTATTAACTCACATCATATTATTATTGTTACAACTAACTGGCTCTTTTACAAGGGGTCTTAACAATGGAATTTGCCAACAGTAAGTAGAAAAAATTATTTTTAAACCATATCACCTATGTTCTATTAAGAAACACACAGTCCACAGCAAAGTTCAGAAAGACAACACAAATGCTGGTGAGACTGTGGAGAAATTGGAACTCTTATTCACTACTGTTGTAAGTGTAAAATGGTACAGTCTCTATGAAAGGCTATCTGGTGATTTTTCAAAAAGTTGGACATACACATACCATTTGAGGCAACAATTTCACTACTGGGAATACACTCAAGAAACCAGAGTCATGACTAAAACAGATGTATGCACACCTATGTTTATTGCTGCGTTATTTACAAGAACAAAGAGATGAAAGTAACCCAAATACCCAACAAAAAACAAATGAATAGATAACACTATGGTACATTCATTCACACAATGGAATATTATGCAGCACTTAAAAATGAACTCAAAGCATTACATGAGGGAGCATGGAGGACATTATGCTAAATGAAATATTTCAGTCACCAAAGGACAAATACTGTGTAACAATGCTGTTATAAAATAGGACAGACAAAGGTGGGGTGGGCAGAAAATGGGAAAGAGTGGACAGATAAACACTGTATAAGAACAGATGAAGGGAAGAACTATCTGAAAGGAATATATGATTAGGCATTATATGTATGACAACAATCTGGAACAAGGGGTACATTGCTGGGTGGGCTAGGGGAAGGAGGAAAGAAAATATGCAACAAAAAATTATAAATAAAAAAGTTAACTGGGGAGAGGGAAAGAAAGAAAATATGCAACAATGAATAAATGAAAATCCAACTTTTCTGTAAATTTTCATTAAAAAAGAAATACATGGCCCAGTTTTACAGAGATTAAACTAATGGTATAGGCAATGCAAAGGAGGTAAAGATAAGAGAGACACAATCTAGGCTCTGAAGGGTTTATAACTTGGTACAAAAAATACAAATATAGAACACTGGGTAATTATTTTTAAATAAAATTTTTATTTTATACGAGTGTCCTTACAAAGTTTGTATACATTGTTTTTCACAAGTCTTTTCCATTTCCTTTACCCACCCCTCCTTCCACTCATCAAATTGCACAACCCTATGATTACTGCCCCCATTCTCGCCTCTCTGCTCCCTCCACCTCAGATCCCCATACACGTTTTACTAGTTACATTTTTATTTCTACAATAGTGTTATACAATATTTGTCCTTATGAGACTGTGTTAGTTCACTTAGCATAATGCTCTCCAGTCCCTTCCAAGTTAGGTAGTGATTTTCAAAATCATTGTTCCTGTGTGCTGTATAGTATTTCATTATGTGAATGTACCATAATTTCTCAATCCATTTGATCATAGTTGGACGTCTGGGCTGATTCCATGTTCTTGTGATGGTGAGTAACACGGCTATGAACACTGGTGTAAGAATTTCCATTTGTGCCTCAGTTCTCCTTTTCTCAGGATATATTCCAAGTTGTGGAATAGCTGGGTC